TTTTTTTTTTTTTTCTGTTTATGGATGGATAAAATAGTGGGGGGTAGCAAAGGCATCACAGCTTCAACTTGGGTTCAACTTTTAAGATTGTTCTGGAGTACCATATGAATTCAAATTTAGCACACTGCTAACACCATTAAAGGACATCTATGGTTATTGCAATTTGGAGACTGGAGGGCTGCATCGATAAAATCTGAAATGTTTGTTTGTAGAAGGAGAATTATGAATGAAAAGATTTACAACCGTCCACCTGAACCAAAACTGTCAAGAAGCTGGAAAAATAAAACTTTTATCCTAGATAAAATTGCTATTAAAGTAAAAGAGAAAGAAAAACGTCCTGGAAAAGTCACTGTTCACTATCATTATGTCGTCACATACTCAAGGAAGCATGAGAAAGCCATGCTAAACCAGCCAGATTATGTGCTCAAAATAAACCCTTCTCTAACTCCTTTCTAAAATAAAGTTATAAAAGTCAAGGTGATGAATTGGTGATGCTTACATTTACACATTCAGGCGCTTAACTACATGGTCTCTATAGATGATGATTTGCTATGCAGCTGCCTATCATGCTGAATTGTGTATAAATAGATCAAATTAAATGTCTTCAAAATATTACTAAGATATGGAAAAAAGGAACAAAATAAGAAACTTAGTTATGATATTTTAATGATTATAAATTCCGTACAAACAAAAGAAAAACAAACTTCTCCTTTGAGATATTATCAGAATTTCTACTTTGAGACATTATTCAAAACTTCTCCTTTGAGACATTATTTAAAAAGTAAAACATTTCTTCACTAAGATTTTGGAAGACTAACCTATTTCCCATTTGGATTTTGAACATGGCGATGAACCAACGATGAATGCTTCCAATCCTAGCAAACAGAATTTGCGGTGGAATAGTTGATTGACGAGCTCTATATCATTTGTCTTTCGGGCTTTTGCAATCCTGAACAAGTTGAAGACAATGATCTGATTTTTTATTTGATTGAAATTAGAACGAGAAGCTTGAACCCTTGACCAATATTTTTCAACCGGTATGATGATGCTCATTGGATACTCCAATTAGACAGAGCGGCCAAATTCTCATGCATCCACATAGGGAGCATCTAAAGATGCATGCAGGAACTTCCAAAACAAAACTTTTACAACTACAAAGTAATTATCACATCTTAGGAATTAGAAAATTCCAGTTCATGTCCAATAAGAATGACTTTAACATCCAGAAGAACCATCTTCTGGAGAGTACTCCCTTGACTGAAGCTCCAGATTTACACCACTTACCTTTCTCACAAATTGTCCCCGCACACGAGGTCTCCTTTCAGCAAGTCGCTTTCGGTTAACATACCTGATCTTTTTATCAAAACAAAGCTCCATTCTTTTTTTCCTAAATTTAATCAATGCTGCCTCTCTTCTGTCAACCTTATTTAATTTCACTTCAGTGGAAGATGAAATTCCAAGTGATGGCCATGGATGAGTATTAGGAATTTGACCAGGTTGTAAGCATATGCTAAACTGGTAGCAGGGGAATGGAGTCATCCCAGTTACATCTGGAGGGCAGTGCGGAAGATGATTGTATTGTGGCATAATAGCGGTTGTAGAATGATTTTGCATGTCATGCGGATTCTTTTGATGCACTTGTGTTGATGATGACATCATAACTTGATTCACAACCCCTGGAATATAATACGGATAGGCAGCTTGGGCAGGTAAGCCAGAAAAATCTTGTTGAAGTTCATTTCTTGGATGCACAAGCACCAGTGAGGATTGGTCTTTCTCAAAATTCTTTTCATGTCGAAGTAACATTGATCCAAGTGGGGTACAAGACCCCTCCAATGAAAGGGAATCTGGAACACTACTATTACTGCTCTGCAAGTCATCTCCTTCTGAATTGCTTTCCTGTGCCTCTCGACTTACGTGTACTTGGGGATCATCAACAACTTGGTAAGCAAATGCTTGATGTTTCTCTTTTATCCTCACTTGTTCAACAACATTGTCTTCAGCGCAGCCAAGCGTGCTTGATTTAACATATGTAAAGAATGATGATGACTCTCCCATCTTTAGTTTACTCTTTTTTGGGCCAGATGAAGATTTTCCTGCAGAATATTACCACAAAATAGTGGAAAAAGTTCTCAAAAGGTAAAGATGAAAAATGACATAGAAAAACCGTTCTGCTTCTAGACAATTTTTTTCCTTTACTAAGATCAGCTAAGTCAATTGAATGATGCAGCACGTCCATCACATATATATCAGAAATTCTCATTGTCATTTTTGTCATCATCATTACAACTACTATAAACAAAACCCTAAAATGAGTGAGAAAAACTCGTTAGACTTTCGTTTGTTACATACTTCTTTTGAAAAAGATAAAGGAAAGTAGAGACTAGAGACTCAACGTCAATCACACTCTCTTGCTTTAACTGTCTTAAATTCTCAAAGACTTCAAAGAATGTCATATTTCCAAGCATAGACCAAATAGAAGAGTACTCTACTAGAAAAAAGATCAGAGTCTAAACAAGTAAACCAAATAAATATAAGCTGAATAGAATCCTACGGCACAAACAAACAATCTTGTAATCAGTTTCAAATTGGAGAAAGAATTTTTCCCACGTACAGAAACTTCAAACATAGCTAATCACCAAAAAGACAGCAAAACTGAAATCATGTCATTTCATGATCTCACTATTAAATGAATACAAGCCAAATAGCACCCTGCAGCAGAAGAAACAAGCTTTTTAGATCAGATTCAAATTGGAGAAAGATAATTTTTTTAAACGAAAATTTTATTTTAAGAATAGTTTATTATCAGAAAAGAAAGCAACATTGAAATGATGTCTTCGCATGATATTCCTATAAGTGATCCTACGCATCACAGAAGATGATTTGTTTCAACTATGCACGCAAATCACGATTCATTTTCTCAAATGCTATGGAAAGAAGATAAACAATATTTGAAGCTCAGAAGACGCCTAAACTTTGCAAAGTAGCACTTCAATTGTGACAAGTGGCTCACCAGCTTGGTGGTCATGTATTCCTGGGACATCAGGCCGAAATTCTGATACATTATTGACTGGAAACTCCATAGCAGCAGCAGTAGAAAACTAAAAAAACAAGACAAAAGAAAAACGAAATAAAAACCATATAAATGCACACTCTAGGGAGTTGCAAGGACAAGAACAAATAGTTAGGTTCCAGCAAAGAAAAATAAAAACTTAAACAAGTAAACCATGATTGGGCCGCATGTCTAGGTGGTTCATGGTTATAGTCACTAATAATTTTGGAAGTACAGGAACAAAACATCAAAAGTCATGCAACAAACCATGCGCCTTCTTCTCCACATGTGTGTCCACAAGTTTAGAAGCTCATTAGTTCGTAAAGGCTTTACGAGATAGTCTGCTGCTCCAAGCTTCAAGCACTTAACAACAGTAGAGACCTCATCTTGTGCTGACATCACTAACAAAGAGAAAAAAGTTCAAACAATGTCAATGAGGTTAAGACCATAACTTTCTTGTAAAAGAAAAAAATTTATTAGGGAAAATTGCAGTAACAAGAACAAAACATGCTTACTGATTACAGGAATGCGCCTTAACTCTCTATCCTGTGTGATATACTTCAACATTTTCAAGCCTTTTCTCATGGGAAGGTCAACTTCGGAAAGTATGATATCTATATCAGGTGCTTCAGCATTCAATGCTTCAATCACCTGTCTTGGAGACCTCACTGAAATGACTGTGAAGCAAAGAAATTCAGATCCATGATTAGAGTTTGACACAATTTGAAATTTGGAATGAGATAATCAGGTTCCACTTTAGATGGCTCTAAAACCAGATACGATATGGATTTTAATACCCAAATTACTACAATCTAAGCTACCTAACAACATGTAAGGCAATGTTACTGCAGGATTTCAAAGAAACTCCTACGGCATTCATAGCCTTGTTGTCATGTTCAGAATTCTTTATAACTTTTCAATAAAGAGTTTTAGATAATAAAAATACATAATAAATAATAAAAGACATGGAGAAGGGAAATGAGCTAACATAAAAATCAAGCTTTAACAATTTACAGCTTTAAGGAAGATTGTTTCAACAGGTGGCATCTAAAGACCAACTAGATCTTCCTTCCATTTTCTTAGCAGCCAAACAAGTGATAAGCTTTAACAGTTTCCATTGCAAAGATAACCAGTAATTAATGAGAAAAAGTTATAGTAAATAATATATTACCCTGGTAAGAGCATTTCAGAAGAAGGGCAAAAACCTCTTCCGAACTGTACTCGTCGTTATCACACAACAAGATCCTCACTTTGCTTCTGTCAATGAACCCATCACCACCACCACCACCATTTTCAGAGTGCTTCTTCAAATTGAGCTCCTTAGACTCCATAGCCAAAACCCACCAAAGCCCAAGCCGCTCCAAAATGAAAACAGCTTCAAAATCCCATCACCACAACCACAAAAACCGCCCTCAGGCAAACTCTGTTATATTAGAGAACCTCCATGGTCAAAATGGGGAGATAAAAATCATCACTTGAAGTCCAGTGCTTCAATCAAAGTTCCTAATTAGGATCAGGGTTATGGTTCTCAGTCGCCGGAGACTCCAATCTCAGCAACCACCACGGCCACATCGTACGGCTGGCGGAGCGGCGGGCCGTGAAGAATTACAGACAAGTGAAGACTGTCAGTTGATTGACGGTTGGGATTGCAAAGTAACTCGGGTAAGGATAGAATGATCACATTTCTCATTAAGAACAAAAGTAAGAAGTTGGTTTAAGATTAATTTGTCCACAAAACTTGATGATTGTTAGAGTTTTTGTTTGGTCTGGATTTGATGAGGAATTTGACATGGCACATTGCAAGGCATTTGATGACTAGCTAGCTATATGTATTGTAAGGAATAAGTCATATAACTTCCAACCACAAAAAGATTAAAAGAAATGAAAAATAATAATGATAGGTCATAAGAGATGGAAAGTCAGATTATTTACTATATCAAAATATTGAATTTTCCAACTCCTCAAAACTTGCCTATGAGTGAGCTCAAGTGGCATTGAAGTCAGATGATGAAAAGGTAAATGTAAGTTCAAATTTGTTCACCTTGCTTTTTAATACCACTGATTACATCTGGAAACCATCAAAATACTAACTGGTTCATCTGCTACTTAAAATCTAATATATGAGCAACCTTGCCAATGGCCATGGTCGATAGCTAGGTGCTTGTTTCTTCTGTTTGAAGCCAGGGAAATGTTTTTATTCTAGATTTTTCTTGAACCATAAAAGCAAACATAAACTACAAAATAAACCCTTCTGAGCCTAAGCATTTCCTTCATGGAGCATAGGTTCATTTTCCTGGAACAATTTGGTTTTTGGAGTTCAAGGATAACCAAATTTTATTTGCAACATAGATTTCAGTAATTATAGTCTTGGTTGCCATTTATTTTTTTGATACACACAAAGTTGGCTCTGGATCCTCTGGAAACTCTTCATCTCTGATACTCTCATCTAAGACCAAGATGTTGTTCATAGTAGGCTCAGTTGAAACCACAAGATTAATGCTCTTCTGTGGTGGCTCGAGCCCCTGTAAGATGAACGGAAAAAAAAAAAACACAGACGCACACAAGTGAAAGATTTGAGCATAAAGTTGATCATCCAATAACCATCCAGCCAGGCATTCCGATGAGGTTAGAAAAAAAAAAATGGAGCGATGCCTACCTTAGGTGGCTTCCTCTGCCTCCAAGAGTGGATCCACAAGTTTAATATCTCATCAATGCATAATGGCTTCACCAGATAATCAGTAGCACCAAATTTTAAGAAATTGTAAAGAAAACGGCTTTCGTTCTGCTTCGACAGCACTTCAAAACAGCAAGGAAAGCAAAGTAAGATGTGCTGATTTACATGGCTTGCCAAGCATTGTATCCATTTTGATGCAAGAAATATAGTGCATAAAGTTTGTGATGTTATATATTCTTCCTTTTTAGACATTTCAACTTTCTCTTCAGAAAGATAAAGAAACAACAAGAAGTAAAACTAATAAGCTTACTTATCACTGGGATATGCTTGAAATGCAGATTCTGCATTATATATTTCAACATTCTCATGCTTGCATCTATGGGAAGGTCAACTGCAGCAAGTATGATATCAATGAATGCCCACTCAGCATTCAGAGCATCCAACACCTCCACAGCAGAGCTTACTGATGTTACTGTTATACAAAATTAAGGATCTTAATTAATTTTCTAAAGATGTTATAAGTTATAATCTACATGGATTGATAATATCAGAATTCAAGGTTGCACATGCTAGAAGACACAGCTGCTGCATATTATACATCCAAACTCCAAATGTTTGTAATGTAAGAAATTGGGAACTTGTTTCAGCTCATGATCAACATGCAAGAAGAAAGGATTGATATATACATATACGTACGTTACATTACATTACATTACGTACCCTGATAAGAGCATGTTGTCAGTAGTGTGCAAACCTCCTCACAACTCTCGGCATCGCGGTCACACAACAAAACTCTTACTCTGCTACGATCTATGGACATGTTCTTGCTCTTAGCTCGGCTGCCACCATATTGCCTGCTGCTATTGCCAATGTCTATTTGCTTACCTTTCTCCATTGCAATTCAGATCAGCAGCACACAAGCACAAGGCCTAGAGATGCACACATCCATGCAGCAATCAAGCTCCCTTGCTACAAATACACCAGTTACCCAACAAAAAGTTTGGCCTACCAAACTTTGGGTCGGCTTGCACGGCCTCCAGCCAGATATTTTGAGGACTGATCATAAATTTTGCAGCACATGTCTCTATATATATCTAGGACTTCACCCAGCTGCAGCATCTCACCTTTTCAGAGTTCTAAATTAAGCTCATAACTCCTTCTCCATTTTAAGGATTAAACCCCATTGTCTCATGGATTACGACAACTAAACTCAGTGCACCAAAATCATTTCAGAACTTAACCACCACATGTTATGTTATGATCTGCACAATCACTGTCTTGGACACAATATTTGTTCCAGAATTCCAAATTGAGATTGATTTTCTCAAAATAATCAAATTGAAATTAATGGGTTACCTGCAATAAACTAGAATTATATCCAAAACTTCTATACCATTTACTGCAAAACACAAGAGGGAACCCCCAAACCCAAATTTATAGAAGCAGAGCATTGTGTTGATTTATATCCATATCTATATATACAAGCAGCATGTGGACGCTGCTAGAAATTAGTAGAGAGAGAAAACAATGAAGTACACTGGATGCATGTAAGGCTTTATCCTTTCCCAAGATTTTTTGCTGCACATGAGTATATTGTAGCCGTCACATCCTTTACCAAATGACAAAATATCAAGCACATGCATGATTTCATCCACCAACAAAAATGCAGCCACATGCTTAGCAAAACATGTTTAATTATGCCCTGCAGGGAGGGACGATCTTATTAAATATCATGACATTGGCTGCTCTTGCTGTGTTACTTGCCTACTTGCCCTGTGGACCGGCGACTGGCCCCCATGCTCTCTGCTGCATGTGCTCCCTCTCTCGCGATGGCTTGCCTTGTCCTCCCCTCTGTCTGCCGCCATCTTCAAGCAAGAGTTTGGGGTTCTCAAACCCGTTTCTCTTTCTTCTTGGCAAACAACCTTCAGAGGTGCAAATTAAGAACATAGGATGATCATTGAGATACTTATCTCTATTGCAGAAGAGAGAAGCATTGTGGAAGAAGAAATTAAGGTTGTTGCTTCATGATTGTACAACTCCTCAACAACTTAATTGTAGGGATAAGGTTGTTTGTTGCTTCCAAAATTGGAAGTGAAATTGACCAACGCTCCAAGCTTACGAGTATGTCTACCTCATTTCATTTTTGCTATCATCCATCACATCCTTTACCGAACGAGAACAAAATCAAGCACAAGATTCATCAAAAGAATAAAATATCAGCCACATGCTGGGCAGGTTTCAAACATCAGCAGCAGGGGCTGCATGCAGGGGGCCATCTCATAACACCAAGACATGGGCCAGTTTTTAAAAATTTCTTAAGTTTGATTAAAAGGTGATTTTTGGCTTTATTAGTAAACAACATTCCCATTTCCTCGATCACAATCCCAAATCTCAAAGTGGGTCCCTCTTAGCTAGAAGTGACAATTTTGACAAATTAGTTATAAATTTTTAAGAGTATTCTTTTCATTTTCCCCTAATTTTTTGTAGGACCAGTAGGTCCATCACTACATGCACAAATATATTCAGTACATATATATCGTCATTTCTCTCCATCTTCAACTTCCTTTCCACATTCCACACAGGTTTCAAATTGCTTAAAGTAATAATCACTTTATACTAATAACATGAGTTGATCAGATTACATATTTAAAGAACATGTATGGTAGCATAGAATAAATCAGCGATACAAATTCATCCGTCAATTCGAATGAATAACCAATTTCTTTGCCACCAACCTAATGCCTGCATTCTGCCGATAGTCATATGGATCCAAGGAGAAGAATGCATCGATAAAACTCCCCGGTTTGAACAAGGTACTAAGTTCTGAAGCATCAAACTTAGTGAAGCCTAGCCTCTGCTCAGTGCCAGAAGGCTCTTTTTTATATATCTCTGTGGCGTAGATCCTAATATCCCCACATACTGGTATACTGCAGAAACGAAACAAATTAAACATAGAAAATATTACATATCTAATCTGATGAATGCAAGGAGTGAAAATATGACAGGATTCTAATAAAACTTACTGCAATCTCACTGTGGGGTAGTCGTGTTGCCGGATCACAACAGGCCACCATTCGGAATTGCTTCCAGAATCCACAGACAACTTACTTGCAATGTCATCACATGCATCAAGAACTTCACATAAATTTGGTGAAGCGTCTGCGATAATATTCAACTTTGGCCGTCCAGCATAATCAAAAAACCCTGAATTGATATTGATTCCAAACCGTATTTTCATATGCCCACAGCAAAGCTGCAGATCGTGTAGTAACTTAATCCTATGACTTCCACGATACCACGGGACAAGGGAAGCATAGATAGAAGGAATAAAAACTTGATCAAGCTCTAAAAATCCCACAGCGGGGTCCGGCTGATTCAACTCTTCCTGCATTTCATTGCTGAGTGGGCCCATGTGCAAGGGATCTAGTCCTGCGTTTTGAGTACTAAGAGATGTCATGGGATCATTCTCTGTCAACATGTCCGGGAGGCTTGATTCCTGTGTGTTAAAAAGTAATACACATTTGTACTAGAATAATATAGAAATATCTTGAATAATCTAGAAAAATCAAGAAAGATTGAGAGAAAGTAGAAGTTAGAAATATCTATTAACTATAACTAGATAAATCTAGAATCATGTAAAAAATTGTGGCTAAAAACAACTTTGGAAAAGTCAAACCAACTTTTCCAAAGTATGCTGCCAACATAGCACTCCTATATATAGCTATTAGCAGCACATATGTATTTATTCAAGGAAAACTTGAAATCTACAGCTGCCTAACTCCTCCCTTTAGCCAACCCTTGTATCCAACCAATTCTAAAGCCTTGTACCCTTCTTATTTCAATCAATAAAATAAAATTATCTTGTTACCCTTTCAAAAAAGCTTTCTATTCCACATAAAGAATATTGTCCTAAATAAATCAACTATTCTCTAAGCCTCTCTTCTCCCTTCAACTAACAAGGACAAACACATTGAACTTGAAAAGATTTTTACAACTACTAGTGACCAATTCCCTTCTCTCACGAAGTGATAATCCAACTCGATGTGCTTGGTCCTAGCATGAAAGATGGGTTTAGAACAAGTAAGAGACAAAGCACTAATGTTGATCACGCCACAGAGACGTAGCTGTTACTGAGGCAAAATGCATATCTAAGCAGGTCTTTTTTTTTC